AGAGGAGCCTCAACCGGGCGTCGGTGGAGAACCTGCTGACGGAGATTGAGATCCTGAAGACCATCCACCACCCGCACATCGTGGAGCTCAAGGACTTCCAGGTGGGGCTGGGGGCTTCCCTGGGGGCTGGGGAGACACACACTGAGCCACCACTGGTCCCACTTGTGTCCCGGAGCCCATCCTGGCTCCCCAAGGATGTATCTGTGGGGACCACTGCCAGCAGTGGGCAAACCGGTCCAGGCAGATCCTGTGTGGGTGGGAGAGGTGATGGGACCGGCTGGGGTGGGATGAAAGGGGTCCTTTCTGACCACATCTACCTGATCATGGAGTTCTGCGCCGGGGGGGACCTTTCCCGCTTCATCCGGATGCGCAGGATCCTCCCTGAGAAGGTGGCACGCATCTTCCTGCAGCAGCTTGGTAGGGCCACCATTTGCAGGGATTTTGGGGAGATGGGACAGGGCTGCAGTGATGTCCTCCCCCTCGCTTCCACATGCCTGTCTGTATGCTCCAGCCTGTGCCCTGAAGTTCCTCCATGACCGCAACATCTCTCACTTGGACCTCAAACCGCAGAACATCCTCCTGAGCTCCCTGGAGAACCCCCAGCTGAAGCTGGCAGGTCAGGACCGGGTCCCAAGGAAGGACTGGGATTTGGTAATTCCTTCTGTCCCTGACACCTCCATGAGCTCTCCTTGATGTCTCCCTGTCCTGCCCTCCTGCAGATTTTGGGTTTGCACAGCACATGTCACCGTGGGATGAGAAGCATGTCCTGCGGGGCTCCCCGCTCTACATGGCCCCCGAGATGGTGTGCCGCCAGCAGTACGACGCCCGGGTGGACCTGTGGTCGGTGGGCGTCATCCTTTACGGTGGGCTTCTGCTTTTATTTCCCCTGCTTCCTGGAGTTTGACCTGGGGTTTCCCCATCTCCATCTCCCCCTTTCCACCCCTCCCTGCAGAAGCGCTTTTCGGGAGGCCACCCTTTGCCTCCCGTTCCTTTGCCGAGCTGGAGGAGAAAATCCGCAGCGACCGGGCTGTTGAGGTAACGTGGGTCGGGATGTCCTTCCCCATGGTGGGGCTGTGGTGTGGGCCAGTGGTCTCATCCTCCTTCCCACCCCAGCTTCCCAGCCGGCCCCTGCTCTCCCCGGAATGCCGGGATCTCTTGGGACAGCTCTTGGAGAGGGACCCTGCGAAACGCATCTCCTTTGAGCGCTTCTTTGCCCACCCTTTCGTGGATATGGAGCACGTCCCTGGCCCCGAGAGCCTCTGCAAGGCGGTGAGCGGGGTGCTGGGCCTGCTGGTCCATGGGCATGCAGGGAAGTTCCGAGCCCTGAGTCCCTCCTCATTCCCCCAGACGGAGCTGGTGGTGGAGGCGGTGAAGAAGGATCAGGAGGGGGACGCCTCCACTGCCCTCTCCCTCTACTGCAAAGCCTTGGAGTATTTTGTGCCGGCTCTGCACTGTGAGTCCATCCCAGGGGGGTGCATTGTGGGTCCTGGGCAGTGCTGGCTGCATTTGGGGGTCACAGTACTCAGGGGGAGGCCAGTCTGCAGCCCATCCGCCCCAATGTTCTGTTGCTCTCCCCTCTAGATGAAAGCGATGCTCGCCGGAAAGAAGCCATCCGAGCCAAGGTGAGCCAAAAATCCCTGGGGAGGTGAGGAACAGCATCCATCTAATTTAGCTTGGCAAGATGCACCCCTGTCTTCTGTCCCTCGTGGTAGGGGTCCCCTCACACATTCCCCCCCTCGCTGTGGGCAGGTGGGACAGTACATCTCTCGAGCAGAGGAGCTGAAGGCGTTGGTCACCTCCAGCAACAAGAGCCTCCTGCAGCAAGGGAACCCAGCCAGAGAGCTCCTTAAAGGTAGTGGGTTTTTGGGAACCCCCCCAGCATCAGAGTGGGAAGGGAGGTACCCGGTGCAGCTTTAGGCTCGAAAAAAAGCCCTCTCTAACTCAGTGTCCCCTCGCAGAGATGGCCAAGGACAAGCCTCGGCTCTGTGCTGCGCTGCAAATGGCTTCTGCTGCTATCGCTAAGGTGAGCAGGGGATTCAGGGGACCCTCGAGTGGAAAGGCAAAGAACAAACTTAAGTGAGGAGGGAGCCGGTGTATCCTCTCCCCCTCAGCT